AAGACCATTATAATGCTGTGCCTGACATAGTATCAGAAAATATCAGGCCCTCTGCATCTGCCCTTTGGAAAAACATCACACCACTCTGAAAAGGGATCACAGTAGGAAGTTCTGGATACAGTGGGGAAAAAATGTGGAATAGGACACATAATCCTTAAAAAAAAAAAAAAAAGCCAGGCTTACTAGTCTGGTAAGAGACTGCTGGAACCCACCCCAAAGACTATGGCTCATAGTCACCCTTTAAGCCACCCCGATGGCTCAACTTTCAGCCAAAAAATAGGCCTATAAGCTGAACAAAAACACCAGGGAGGTAGGCACTCCCTAGAACCACCATAATAGGTCAAAGGGCAGCATCTGCCCAGAGATAACCCCAGAAGATAGGAAGGAAATAAAAAGAAGGATGAATGAAAACAGAAGACACAGGAAAGAAATAGAATGAGTTTTGTTACATTGTAGGGATTGCAATCAAAGTATGTATAAATTATTGAATGGAAAACCAATTTGCTCTATAAAAATTCACCTAAATCCAATCTGTCTAGGTGGTGCTGATGAAATGACATGCAGATAGGTCTCTTGTGATACAATAGTAAATAATTATTATCAGGACTGATTGTGAGGGTTGGAAATATAAAGGTAGACGTTTTGTAGCAAAAGGAGGGGAGTGATTAACTTTTCAGTCTAGGAGCAAAGGTCCCTAGGACCATCAATGGAGAAGAGCAGAGAGCGGGACCCTACCCAGAGAAGCAGTGATGCCTGAGATGGAGGCAGAGACGATGATGTGGAGAGATGGAGCAGCTGGGAACTTGAGATCCAGAGAGGGAGATGGGTTGTGTGTTGAAGACCTGGGGCTGGTGCTTGCAGGGTATATACCCTTTGGTTGGTTGATGATGCATGAAAGGGATTATAACCGTGGCAATGAAACGATATACGATAGAATGAATGTAAAACTAATGTTCTCCCATGTAAACTATCACATAATTCACAATACAACATTTATAAAAATGAATGAATAAAATTCACCCAAACCATAATAAAAAGTGAAAATCAATGTATTGTGTTGAGAAAAAAGGTATCACAGAAATCTAAAACCAATCCCCAACAATTAAGAGTCAATAGTTACACCACCCCTTCACCCCCCACCCCTACTCAGTTTATTCAATAGGAAACTAAGATCTAGAGAGGCAAAAATAACTCACCTAAGGACACTAAAATAGGTATTGGTGGATCCTGGCACCAGATCTCCTAAATTGCAATCTAATCAGCTTAACTACTATTTTG